ATAAAAGCTCCCAGTAAGGCACATCTAATAAAAAAGAGTTTATTTAATTCTAATTACTAGATTCTAAAATATTTAAGAACTAATAAATTTTTAATTTTAATAATAAATTAAATTAAAATTAAGCAAAACCAAATTATAATTCATATTAGAGATAAAATTATTTGCTTTAGATTTAAATTTTTATTTTATTTTATATTAAATCCTTTCTGTATATCGCATGAGTTTATAGCTTAATAATTATAAAAGTTTTACTATATATTTATTTTATATTTAAAAATTTTATAAATTTATTCTTATACATTTTTGCACGGGTTTACAACTAGTATAACAAAAAATTTTTGGCTACTTTTTAAATTATCCTATCTTGCTAATATTATCTGCTATTTTTTATTAAGTTACTTACTTAGATTAATTTAAAAAATAATTTATTAATCAAAATATTTAAAAATAATATATACACTTCTTATTAGTTATATTAGTTTATTATCTATACTGATTTTGTTAATAAACAATCTTTTATTTAAGTCAATTTAGTCATTATTATTAATTAATCAAATATTCGAAATAATCTATATATCCATTATTAACGTCTTATTTGTGATGATTTATAATTTTCATAATTTGAATTCTGAAATTTATATACAAAATATTGATTATAATTTTAGTCTTATCTAAATACAATGTTGTATAGTGCACTTGCAAAGCTTATCTGCAAAATGCTTTTTCATCAATCTGGTCTTTAATTTAAAAATAAAAAAAAATAAAATAAAATCAATATATGAATAATAATATGTCAAATCACTAGAAGTATTTGAATATTAAATAAATATTTAATAAATTTATTTGGAGTTTTTAACCAATATCTGGATCTAAAAAAAGCTAGATTAATAAATATCTAATAGTTAGTTTTAATTAGATCAGATTATATCTCAAAGATACAATTTTTTCAGAGATTGCTTCTACAAAGTGTATCAATTAATACAACTCATTCTTCTGATCTATATTCATATTATAAAACTCAAAGAAGCCAGAAAATTGTTCTTCTATTAATGCTTTTTTCTTCTTTGTTCTTGCAAGATATACTTGCTAAGGCCTTTTCACCTTCTAATTTAAGTTTATTAGAATATAAGTCAGCGTAGTGTTCTAATTCAAAATTTCAGTATTAAAGTATATACAATTCTAATTTGTCAACTTAAATATTGTATTTTATAAAATTTAACTTTATCTTTCCAAACTCAATAATCTAGCTAGATTATGAAAACCAAAAAATTAACTTTGCCTAGCTAAATATTCATATTATAATATATACATGCATAAGTAAAATCTGTATATATAGCACTGTATATATGCAAGATCACATGTTGTACAGCTACCCAAGTTTTTTTAAGTTTAATTGTTATTTGAACCCAAACATGTTTATGAACTTCAAACCAAACTCAGACTGAATCAATATTTCAAGTTTGAGTTCAGTCCAGATTCATAAATTCTAGATTTGGTTCAGATTTGAGTTCAAAGATCTGCAAAATTTAAAGTTCAAGTTCGGGGTTGACCAAACCCGGACCAACTTTGAAACACTAATATCAGTATATAGTCATTCTCTCATACAATCACACAGTTGGGCATATAGTTAATTTTTTTAAAAATGTGTTTATAAATGGGTTATGCTTATATGGAGTTTTTTTCTTATAAATTAAATCATAGTTTGGGCTAAATAAAAATATGATTATATATGATATGATTATATAGGAGGTGACTATATGAAGGGTCGACTGTATAAAGTAAAATTAATTGGTAATCCACTAGTTAACCAAAGAGTGATTATAGTAAAATGTAACTCAAATTATTTATAAAAATTGGAAGTCTTCAAATATGCCATAAAACTTTTTTAATATTAAGTTAATTATCTTTTAGATTTTTTAAAGATATCTTGGCAACCACTAAGCTAATTTTGACATTTTAATCATTATTAAATGCGTCTTGACAAGCTCTACAAAAGTCTCTTAAGTTAGAAAAGTAATTAGCTTAGTATAAAAAAAAGTTTTAGATATGTGCATGCCACATTTGAAGACCTCCAATTTTTATAAGTAATTTGAGTCACATTTTACTATGATCATTCTCTGGTTGACTGGTGAATCACCGATTAAAGGTTAAAGTTAATTAATTTCTCAAATTTCGGAATAAATATGAAAATTTCTTAGGTGGCATAAATTTTTGATCAATAATAAGCAAGACATGTGACCAAATCTTATAAAAATTTCAGAATAATTTACATTTTTTGATAAGTATAGATAATGTGAACCATAATAATTCTTTTCTTTATTCTATATATCATGTTATTATTTTATTAGAGTCCCGATTTTTCCACACCCTTTTTTTGATATTTTCACACCTATATGTGAATCATGTTTTTTTAAATGCAATTGAAAGTAACTCGGCACCAACACAACCAAATTCAATGAAATTTTTTTTATTTAAATTCTCCAGAACTGCAGAATTTAAATAAAAAAAAATTCATCGAATTTGATTGTGTAGGTGTCAAGATATCTTTAATCAAAGTCAAAAAAATTTTGCTACAGCTAAAATTTTGATAGACAATTAAATTTTTCCCAAATTTGATCGAAGATATCTCGATAACCACCAAGCCAAATTTGATGGATTTTTTTTTTTATTTGAATTTCACTGTCTATAAGATTTAAATAAAAAATATTAACCGAATTTGGTCATGTGGCTGTTGAGTTATCTTCAATCAAAGTCAAAAAAAATCTTGATATCTATAATTTTTTTAAAACTTTGATCGAAGCATTACGGCACATTTGTAAAATACCCCAAAATTTAAGAAGTTTGACTACAAGTGATGAGTCAATTTAATTGACTTTGGATATACGTAATTTATTTATCATTATGCCAATTTAATTGATATTGATATTACATAATTATTTTATTATTTAACTATGATATAATATTTATTTTTATGATTTAACTATAATATAATAATAAAATAAACACATATTTTTTAGTTAACAAAAGATTTATCATTATTACTTTTCAAAATTATTATTCGAAATAAAAGAAATTGCCCTATAAGAAAAGTGGTACATGTTGTAGTATGAGTTGGTTTTGGGAATGTATGAAGTAGCTCAGATTGTGTAGCACACACAGGCACATTTTACGGAGTGGCACGGTAAATTAGCATAGACATTACAGTAAGGGGTAGTATGTTATATCACGTTATACAGAACAATACGTTCAGATGACATGTATATGTACGTTGTGCACATGTTAGCTTGTGATACATATTGGCTCATTTCGTGGAGAGCGAAAGATCAAAAATGATTTTTTTTAAAAAAGTGCAATATCTTATAATTTTACTGATAAAGCTGCTCTAAGTATCTTAGCAAAAAAGATTCCTTACAAAATTTTACTTCATATGCAGCTAGTATGTTCGTATTATATTAATTACTAATATAATTTTATGTTTTAATCATTAATCCACATGTTTGTTATTTGTTATCGCGATGGTACGTGAATTTATATATCATTACATGTGCCAAATCCCATGCCAATTCAACTAGTAAACTGCTGCAAAACCTGTGCCATTTACGGTCTAATTGGCATGGGCATATGGTCCCACATGAACCACAGAATCTATACCTACTTGGATCATACCTGTACAAATCTGGATCTTGACCTGTGCTACAAAGGCCCGTACCTATTCTAAACCAACCTGTACTGATCTGATCCATTTTTCTTATAGGGTTGGTGAAGAAAATTCAAATTATTTTGTAGATTGCACGTTTAAATGGAAGTCACCACGAAGAAGTTTTTAATATTACATTGTAAAGGAAGGTATATTTCATAATGACTCCATCCACTCTTTTTCTTAAAAATTGTATTTGGGCAAAGTGGGTATGAAAAAATTTATTTGAAGAAATATTAATAATCTTTTTGCTACAATACACTTTTTGATAATGTATTTTATGACCACAGTGACTTTTAAATTTTTGTTATCACATAAAGAACATAAAATGTTTTTAGTGTTACTATTAATCATTTTTTTTAGTAATTTTTGTCAAAACTTGAAAATGGGTTTTAATGGTGGGAAAATAGGTTAGACACATTGTTATTATAAATTTGAAAGATCAAAAATTTTGTCTGGAGTTTAATTTTAACCAATCAATAATAAATTTGGTGACCAAATTTTTAGTTTTGGTGACCAAAAATTAGCTAAATTTCTCAAATGGATATTCTGACAACTACCTGACCAAATTGATGAGATTTTTTTATTTAAATTTCCAGAACAGTAGAATTTAAATAAAAAAAAATTATCAAATTTGGTTTGGTGGGTATCGAAATACCTTTGATCAAATTTGGGATTCTGTTTTTCTTTATTTAGCATTCGATACATGTTTTTTAAATTATTTTCAAAATTAATTTGTTTATTTTTTGGCAAAATGAACATTTTTTTGAATTCAATTGGACAGAATAATCACTTCTGCTAGTTAAATTTTTATGAAATATGGTAAAAAAAGAAATTTTTAAACAATCATTGTAACAAATACAATATTATAAATAGATATCATTATAAGTGACTAATATTCGATTTCATTAATTTTCGAAAGATGGTTTTAAACAGCGATTATGTAACTGATTTTGGTGGTCATGCTAGGTTCGTGATTTTATATTATTAGCTTAGTTAGCTGATATTTAGAAACCAACTACTAACACTATACATAATATGGTCAGCAACGCATAACTAATTAACACATAATTTGCTCCAAGTACTGTTCTGAAAGACTTTGTTAATTAATACAAATTACGATCAAGGTTGAGAAAAAAAATTAAACGTAAGTTCCAGACTACACCAAAAGATGGCTTTCATACTAAGCTACTTATTAAATTGCACATTTTTGGGTGCATAATTAAGAAAATGTATACATGTAAAAGTGTATAATTTACTTTGTTGCATGCAATAATTAATGGTTAATCACAGAATAAAACTATCATCTCTAAGCTAGATACTCTTCATACTTTGTTCGTGCCAAATATTCTAATTTTTTCAAGATATCTTTACAAGATATACATATTATCATAATTATTAACTGGAATTCCTGGGATAAAGTTGGTTGGTTCCTCAAAAAATTTTCAACATAAAAAAAAACCCTCAATAAATGATTCGAATCTTCCCAATTTTATAGTATGTGTACATTACAACATTTAAACATGTCTCTCATATAATATACATTTAATGTAATAGGTGTAAGTTACCATTTACAGTTCTATTTGTAACTGATATAAACTAACAGGCAAAATTTTAATAGCAAAAAAAAAGCTCATCCCACATAATTTATTTTCTTTTGCAAATGATTATATCAAAAATTATCAATTAATAAAAATCTAAAAATAACATTATACTGAAAGTCATATGATTATCTTTAAAATATTTCATATAATAAGTGCGTCGTCCCGATTCAATATCATCAACATCATTACTTTTAGAATCATTTTTCTTTTCGAGCTCTTCCTTTTCAAGTCTCTTTAAATAATTAATTGATAATTTATTAAATGATACATGATTATTTCTTGATAGATAACTTCTCTCTTTATCAAACCAAAAATATATTAGTTCATTGCGATGATCAAAATCATATTTTTCTATCATATTCGCATTAGAAATAGATAAATTACATGATAAAAATATAATAATAAATTTTTTAAATATCTTAGGAGAATAAGAAATTTGTTCAAAAATATTAATACCATAATTTGCATAAAGATCTTTTAAAATAATAACAGGAGTAGTAATAACAATAATATTGAGAAATTGAGAAAAAATATCGAAATAATTAATGAAGATAAATAAAGTGGATGAAGCATGGCGGACATTTGATTTGATTGGCTTGAAGATCCCTAAGTCACACAATATAAAAAAAAATTTTAAAGTAACACTTACTATAAAAAGCCACATTGTCAATTGGCAATTCATAGTTTTACAGAATAAATTTTTTTTAAAATGTATTATAGTGTTCTTTAACACTTCTTGTGTCTTCTGTAAAAAAAGATCAGTATAGATCAGTATCCCTAAAAACTTTACTTAGAAGCAAATTTAAGCAAGTAATATGTAACAAATGTTAATTAGGTTATATACAATAAACTTATTTTTTTGTTTTTAAACTCGAAAAAAAGTTATTTAACAGAATTTATAAGCATTAGAGTGTTCTTAAGCAGCTCTCTTAGTGTGATTAGCCAGTGCTTAAGATGCTGCTAAAAACAATGAAATGCCGATCTTAAATCAGCCAATTAAAAAAAAGTAGTTTGTATCTTTATATTTTATTTATTGAAATAGTTGTTTAGTTTATTGAGACTAATTATTTTGTTTCTGAACCAGTGAATGATGTGCTTGAGAACACAATCACCTGAAAGAATTGGGAAATAGAATTGAAATAGATATATTCATTTACTTTTAGAATGAACCACCCAGTCAGCCAGGCTAGTATAATTTTCTAATCAGAAATAGGTTCAATATTTGTCTTTGATTATAGCCTCAAACTTAATAGAATATTAGATGATTAGAAATCTAAATTAACTTAAATTAACTATAATAAGTTCAAAGATATCTAGAAATCAGATTCTCAACTATATATCGTGCAACTTGGTGTGATAAAATTAATGAAGTGTTGCACTTAAAGTTGATCCGTAATTCAAACAAAAATTATCAATAATTTATTCAGAAATTAAAAAATTACTGTGAAATTGGTTACAAGAATTTTTTGTTCCTAAGCTATGGAGTATCAAGAAAATATTGTGGTGATTGCAGATTGTACCAAAAAAATTCATTACTTGCATAATTTTGAATTTCAAATCAATTCATTCACAGAAACTTGTCCATAGAAATTTACAAAGTAGAAATATTTTGCAACCTGAGTTGCAATATGCATATATCACCGATTTTGGACTTTCTAAAAGGTAAAAGTTGTAAAATTCTGCCATATATAGCACCAGACTTTAGGTAGGTCAACTTTATACTCAAGCATCAGATATTTACAGTTTTGGAATTATTGTGATATCGCAATAGGCTGTAAGTTAAGTAGCAGATTTTTTTATAGCATATCATGATGAAAACTATAATAATTTTACTAATCATAATAGATTTTATCTTAATATCAGCACAAAGAGAGGTTCATAAAATATAGAAGTCTTTTGAAAATGAACAAATTACCAAATCATTTCAATCCTAACCTAAGAGAATATTAGACGATGAGAAATTTAAATTTATCATGCATTGATTCAATGATATCAAGGAGTCAGGAAAAAGAATATTCACATCTGTATGTCATACAACTTGGTGTGATAGAATTAATAGTATATGGTGGGGTTGTACTTAAAATGATTCGTGATTTAACCAAAAATTATCAAGAATTTATCCAGGAATTAAAAAATTACTGTGAAATTGGTTATGAGAATCTTTTGTTCCTGAGTTATGAAGTATCAAGAAAAGATTGTAGTGATCATGCAGATTGCACCAAAATTTTTGCATAATTTTGAATCTTGAATTGATTCATTAACAGAAACTTGCCCATAGAGATTTACACAGCAGAAATATTTTGCAACCTGAGTTGCAATACGCATATATTATCGATCTTGGACTTTCTAAAAAGTAAAAGAAGGAAAGATTTGTGGAATTCTGCCATATATACACCAGAAGTTCGGTAGGTCAACTGTATACTCAAGTATCAGATATTTACAGGTTTAAAATTATTGTGATATCGCAATAGCTTGTAAGTTAAGTAATAGAATTTTTTATAGCATATCATGAAAACTATGATAATTTTAATACAAGCTAACACTACTAATCACAACACAATTTTAATTATATACTATGAGTTATCGGTAAGTTCAGTGATAAAATTCTTATAATAAAACAATAATAGCTCTAACACAAATTAACTCTATCTTATCCACATTTAGTGTATCACCCCTACTGTAACTGAATTTTTTTACTGCAAATCATGATAGAATCCATAATAATCTTAATACAAAACAATTCAATTTAATTACATACCATATGCTATTGCAATGGCCTGTATTTGTAGTTATCAGATAACATGTATTTAGATAGTTATAGTAGGAATTTATTGTTATTTGTGTGATTTGCTATAAAAAACTCAAATATTGTACTCTTTATTATAAATAGACAGGATTACGTTAGTTTGTATTGGATTTATCATGTTACCTAAACAACATATTTATTTTAGAGTTATAGTAGATTTTTGAGTTCTAATCTAGATAAATCCATCACTATATCTGATTTATTTAGATATCCATTTACTATTGATATTCAGATAATTCTACAGATATTTAAATAATTATCTGGATATCAATAGTAAATAGATATCCGAATAAATTCAGATTTGGGATATCTGATAATTATCCAGATAAATACTAACAGGATTGGAACTTTATAGGTTTGTATTGAATCATTGCAATTTGTAGAATAGTTAGTAAAAATTTAGTTATTGTATTATAAAATTTAATTTTTAAAAATAAAATTAAAATATTATATAAATGTTATAATTATTATACATACTATATACATAATTATAATAGTAATAAGTACTATTTATTAATAAATAACAAATTTCTTTAAAATTAGTAAAATTAGTATAGTATATGTATGTGGTATGTAATAGTTTAATAAAAATAGATTAATTATATTAAATATCTAAATTTAGATAATGATCTACATTATGCATATTGTTTATTTGTTACATTTTTTAACCAATTAAAACAAATGTTCACCATGCTAGTGGATGATTGGTTAAATTTTCAAATTTGACAATATTAAGATTCACTATACCATATACTATCAAACCATAAGTACTTAAAAATGATAATAATAAGTATGTAAGTTCGTTGGAAATTAAAAATTTAATAGCAGCACTTAAATATAGCAAATAAGAGACCGTTTTGAACTTATCAAAAGATCTATTAAAAGAAATTGTAATAAAAAATGTGAAAATAGCAATGATTACTGAAATACATGATTGATAAATAATATGTTTCCAACAAAAATATAAAAATAATATAGTAAGTAAAATAAAAATATAGAAATTATGTAGTATAATAACAAAAAAATATAATACAAAATTTTTCCAATGAGTTTATTAATTTTGATAGGTTTAGAGGGTTCAAGGGCGATATTAAATAGGGTTTTAATTGATGTGGGAGCTTTAATGAATAATTCATTTTTCAAAGTATCAACTATCTCTTTCTCGATTTCAAGTTTATAAGTATTAGTCTCTATTGAGGTGTGGCGACTTAGTGTAGTGGTCTAGTCATCACTCTCTCCAAGTGGCAGGTCTAGAGTTCAAATCCCATGGACGACGAATTTTGAAAATAGCCTGTGTTATGGTTTACGGTTGTCGATTATCGGTTGGATCTAGAAATCTGTAATCTCGGTCATACCATCT